TTTCAGGGGATTTTTTTTCATGTACAACAATCTACATTTATTCAAATACAGTCGTGTTATCTTCTTCTGGCTGCTGCACAATGGGGGAGGGTGGGGTTTCACTTAAGCAGGGCTTATTTTTCGGGTAGGGCTTATATTACGAGCATCCTGAAAAATCATACTAAGGCTTATGAGCCTTGTGATGCAGTGGCTAAACTGCTGTACTGCAGCCAAAACTGTACTCACGGCCTGGGGTTCAATCCCAGGTAGCGGCTCAAGGTTGACTCAGCCTTCTATCCTTCCGAGGTCGGTAAAATGAGTATCCAGCTCGCTGGGGGGGGGGGGGAATGGGTAGCCTGCATAATTAACTTGTAAACTGCCCAGAGAGTGCTCAAAGCACTATGGGGCGGTATATAAGCAGCACGCTTTTCCTTTGCTTTGTTTGCTTTGTTTTCAGGTTAGGTCTTATTTTCAGGGAAGCAGGGTACCATCTATCAGTAGCTGCAGTACTGTTTTTAATCACTATGTTGCAGAAATATCTGACTTTCCATAGAGACAAAGCTACAAGCAGGCCTTGGGGATTCACTTATTCAGAGTTACTATATGCAACTTTGTTTTATTATTCTTTTAAGACCTTAAACCTAATCAAACATTTAATAGAGAGAGAGGGAGAAGGTACTGCTGCTTGGTTTTGTTTATGTGTATATTTTTTAAAAGTGACACAAAGCTGTGGAAAATACAGGGGTTGATAAGAAGCTAAAATTAATTTCCCTTAACAAATGTCTTTCCAGTTTTAAATGGTACATGATAAACTCTGCTAATGTAAAAGAGGTTGACAAAGAACTTAAAAAATAAGTCCATCGACTACAGGTATAGAGAGAGGTGTCATATCCATTTTAATGACCTTAATTTGTTGTATAACAGTTATTTTAATTGTATAACAAAGTTTGTTGTGTTGTTAAATTTCAATAGTGTATTCATTTTAAGTCTTAAATTGATATTTTATTATGAAACATCTAGGGCTTTGTGCTCTGCCTATGACTACTGTAATTAGAATTAAACCTTTCAGCAAATGACTGCAAGCTTCTACTTGTTAAGCATAATTGGGAAGAAATCCTGTGATTAGATAAGGATGCCCAAACTGGTCAGTTGTGATGCAACAAAAACAAAAGACCAATATTCCAGGAATGTTTTTGATTTGTATTTACAAGAGATTAGGATGATAGATTAATGTTCTGCAGTGATAATAAAAAACTACTCTGTCCAGCACTGAGAAAGGGAAAGGATAAGCAGTATCTACTAAAATACATTTTAAAACCGGTGCTGATTAGTAGCTTGTAATAAGTGAGGATTTTGTTTTATAAAAAGAAAATTATCTAAGAATCTCTGGATAACTCTTGTTGTTTTCCCAGCCTGTTGTGAAATGACGACAGTATTTAGAATGGATTCCATAAAAATGAACAGCATGTGATGACTGGGTCCAGTAATGGGCTGTTTTGACAAAGGCAATTACTTTGGCTATCTGAATGTTTTAATCATAGGTGCGCTCGTTGCATAATATGTTGCCTTGAAGGAGTGTTTGCCATGCAATGCATTTTGGAATCCTCAGTGATTTGTTTGCTTAGTAAATATTCTGTGCACTATTTATTGCTTGTGTCAGTGATTAGTGCCAGTTGCAGATGTGGGCTGGCAGGCTTGGACAAGGTTGTCCCAAGAGGGAAGCTTCCACCCCCACATAGAGCACTCCACTTTTTCTTGCTCAGCAGTTGCTGCTGCCCATTTACCTCCCTTGTCATTCTAACCTGTCATTCTTACAGCTGTGATGCAGCTGTCGTTGCCGATTTTGCTGAAGAACTCCAACCATTTATGAACCACTTTAGCAAGGCCTGCCAAGATTTTGGATTAACAATCAGCCTGAAGAAAACACAAGTCATGGGCCAGGGTGTGGACCCACCTCCCTTTACTACCATCTCTACACAAGATCAGAGGTTGTTCATGATTTTGTGTACCTTGGCTCAATGATCTCTGACACTCTCTCTCTAGATGTTGAGCTGGATAAACACATTGGCAAAGCAGCTACCATGTTCTCTAGATTCACAAAAAGAGTATGGCTTAATAAGAAGCTAATACTGTATACCAAGATCCAGGTCTATAGAGCCTGTGTCCTGAGCACATTCCTGTACTGCAGTGAGTCCTGAACGCTTTGTGCATGGCAGGAGAGGAAGCAGAACACATTTCATATGTGTTGTCTGGTGATACTACATGTTTTTGGTATCACCAGGCAGGACAAAGTTCCAAACAGAGTAGCCCTAGAATGCGCTGGAATTTTTAGAATGCATACATTACTGAAACAGTGATGTCTACATTGGCTTGGGCATGTTGTGAGAATGGCTGACAGTTGAATTCCAAAAGATCTCCTGTATGGAGAATTAGTGCAGGGAAAGTGCCTCAGAGGGAGGCCACAGCGATACAAGCATATCTGCAAGCAGGATCTGAAGGCCTTAGGACTGGACCTCAATAGATGGGAAATGTTGACATCTGAGCGCTCAGCCTGGAGGCAGGCGTGGCCTCTCCCAGTTTGAAGAGACACTTGTTCAGCAGGCTGAGGCAAAGAGGTAATCCTGAAACCAGCAAAATTGGGGAGCTGGGCAGGGGACAGATTGTATTTGTCTTCAGTGTGGAAGGGATTGTCACTCTCGAATTGGCCTTCTCAGCCACACTAGACTCTGTTCCAAGACCTCTACTCAGAGCATGTTACCATAGTCTCTCGAGACGGAAGGATGCCTACACATTCTAACCTGGAAGGAGAGGACAAGGTAAGTTGTAAGTGGAGGTTGCTGCGCTTCTCTTTACTGTCATGGCACACTGGCTGGGGGAGGACAAGGAGGGCAGTGAGCCCCTTGCCCTGACAGATGCTTTGCTGTCTCTGATGGCAAGCCCAGCCATCATCTCTTTTAATGGTTCAGAATTTTAAAAAGAGCAACAGGACATCATCACCTGTCTGCTATGAAATGATGAGATGTTTATGAGCCTTGAGGATAATCATGGCAAGAAAAAAATCAATACATTTTAAAGATCAGTAAATGAATACTTTTTTGGGAGATATTTCTCTAATCATTCCTCTAAATATTTTTGGAGAGCACACCTCTAAAGAATAATAAAAATGGCTAATTGGTATTTTTTGTAAGCAACTTGATTTAGTTTCATACATTTTAATAGACAATAAAAATGGTACAGAATCAATTGAGCATATTCAATTACACAGGTTAAACTCTAATTATAACTTGCTAATAGATATTGTTCTTAACAAGTTTGAATGGGAATTACAGTAGCTGACGATTACCAGAACTCTGCCTTGGGTATACGAAGAAGGGGGGTGGAGAGGGAAATGCCTCTGAGCATGTATAGTGTCCCTTGCCACTAAGTAACTACCACTCATCCCTAATATTTGGAATTTCCAGTAGATTTTCTAGATCAAGGGATGTGTGCGCGCCAAATTTTATTTGCCCAGACTTTTAAAACATCCTTGGGCACTTGTGTTACGTAGTTAGTTTTCAAGCTGAGCTGCTGGTTGTTTTATGCTGACTCTTTAGGAAGGAACTTTATTTATTTGTTTTATTGTTTTATCTTATTGTATTACTCTTGACATAGAGACTGAACCTAGAAGAACTGTTGGTGATGCCTATATAAATTAAATAACTCAAACAAGTTAAGATGGAATGGGCAAAATCCTGTTGCATTACTTTGCATTCAGCACAACTCAGATTGGGCACTAGAAGCATTTAACACACTAATTAAAAGATTCTTGCCCCACCCCCTTTAGGCTCTGAGGCTCCATTTTGGCTTAGGAAAACTGTTGAGAACCTTAGGCTGGTGGCACTTTTAAAGGTTTCATACACATGTCCGTCTCAAGGCTCCTGGAAGCTTCCCCAGGGAAAAAGGAAGCCTGAGGGAGACTTGGAACCTAAAGCAGGAAAGAATGGGAGAGGAAGTTTCTAATTAGTGTAAGTTTAACATTTCTGGTGCCTAATCTGTTGTGCTGGACACAAAGTTACTCAATAGGATACTGCTTATTGAATCTTCTAGGACAGTGACTTTTGTGAAACATTTCTGTTTCACTTGAAAAGAATGAAAGTGATTTTTATTCCCAAATCATTGTTGTGATCTGTAACTGCTTACAGATTTAGCTTACTAATCAATCATAACACATAAAGTTAATCTTTTAGCTTTTTTAATAGGGTGACACCCAGAAAATAAATAAATAGATAAATAATAGGGCATATGATTTTGTCTGATATAATAAACAAACAAACAAACATGCCATTAAGTCAATTCTGACTTATGGCAGTTCTTCTCAGGGGTTTTTAGGTAGAGCACTTAAATGTGGTTTACCGTTCCCTTCTTCTGGAGGTATCCTAAAACTATGCATCTTGCCCAAGGCCACACAGGCTGGCTCGGCTCACACAGAGGGGAATTGAACTCCCATACCTAAACCATTAAGCTATCCAGCCAGTTCATTTGTTAATAGCTAAGGTTAATCATCCTGTCTTTCAGTGTCAACAGTACTGTATAACATTCTTGATAGAAGATGTATAAGCTTACTTCAGCATTGTTAATAATATGCATCATGGTGATGGTTAATAATATGCTAATACACAGTGAAACCTAGGTTCACTAAACTTGTTTGAAGATGTGCTCTGATACAGCCAATTGTGTGGCCTTGCATCTGTGAGATAAACAATGTCAGTCACATGCGCAGTTGAGGAATAATTTATGCAATGGCACAATCTTTTTCCAAGTGTATTTGACTTCTCTCCAAAACAAAAAAATTAATAAAAAAAACAGAGTTGAAATGAGAAAAAGAGCAACAACCATCTCAGTTTTGAATTGGATATTTTCTGCAATGTTCTGCACTTATTTTCAAAAGTGGAGCAATGGGACCTAAACAGGGAATCTTATCTATATAGCTCACCAAGTACTCCCTAAGTATTTTGTTGTGTAGAATACAATTGGAAAAGTTTATCCATTGTTACTGATTTTCTCATTGAGCAAATAAGCTTACAACAGACTCCAGAATTCTTCAGAGCAGTTTGAAAACCACAAGGATATAGGATTCTGAACTCAGCTATGAATGGTCAATGTGCCGCATTCACTTAATCAAAGGACAATCTATAGAGGAACCTAACATCTGCAGAGCCTGGGAAAGCAGAAGTAGGTCCTGCAGGTAGAGGAATGAGGTATTAGATTTCTAGATCTGTTAGTGGAGAAGTACTTCAGGAATCACAGCTGTACCCCTAAAAATATTCAGGTACCACAGATCCCACTCCACTGGGATGTCTTCAGAACAAGCACCAGTCACCAGCCTGTCCAGTTCCTAGAACATACTGTATCATGTGCTGTTTTGGGCCACAAGGCAGCCCCTTATCATCACTGGGTATTGTTCTTGAACTTCTATCATGTCAAGGAAGGGAAGCTATTAATAATATCATTTACAGTGATACCCCAGAGAAGGGGTGATGATGTTATGATTCAGGCCACAGTAGGAAACAATATGCGTTTATAGACACAAACACCATTTAGAAGAGAGAAAAGTGAAGAGAAGCATCCTGTCTTGGAAAAGGATAGCTTGGCATTCGGAATATTTTAAACAACTGCACGCAGAACCAATCAAGGAGATTGGTTGGTTAACCCTGCTCCCTCCGTAACAAAGATCAGCATTACACCAAACAGTTCAAAGGCGAAGTATGATGATAGCCAGACCTTGAGAAAACTTAGGGAAGATGCTTGTTTTTTATATCTAATACAGTAGCTTTAGTAGGCTCTGGTCCAGGATGCCATTGAAAGATCTGATGTTCATGTTGGTCTCTGCACTTTAGGAATGACTGTTTGGCTCCAGGCAGGGTGCACAGGGGTGTGTGGGCCACTCCAATAGCAAGTTGCTTATTGACTCCTGGTGGTTAGATCCATTGGAATATATGGAAGTGTAAAGTCTTTTCTTTCAATAAGGCACATCAGCCCCAGGCTGCTACTAGCTGCTCTCAGCGAGACATCATCCGTACAAACTCTGCAGGAGGAAAATCCAAAGATATAGTCATAACAGAAAGGGAGGAAAAACATAATTGCATTGCTCATAAAAAGGAAGGAGGGTATTGAAGAAGGGTATCAGTTGCCATATTTTATAGATAGTCTCAAAGAGTGCAGAATCCAGCAGAATTTGTCATGTCTCTCTCTCGATCCACCCCTTCCTCCCTCCCTCCCTCCTCAGTTCCTAATATTACATCTCACTCTTCAAAAATTCTGCAACACTTCATGTGACCAGGAAATAGGGCCCAAGACACAGCTATGCCAAAGGATGCTCATGAATTCGCAGTTCCCACAGAATGTAATGAAACTAGGTGCAAGGGCTGCAGTGGCTGTGAACCATGGAGGCTCTATAATCCCTCCAGGACCACTGTTAAGAGAGGGCAAAATCTAAGGATTTTGATTCATGAAGTGCAGATTTCAATATGAACAGAGTGACATCCCTAGTTGTAGTTGTTACTGTTATGTGCCATCAAGTTGCCTTTGATTTATGGTGGTCCTATGAATGAGAGATCTCCAAAATGTCATGTCCTCAACTGCCCTGCTCAGCTATACCAAACTCAAGGCTGTGGGTTCATTTAGGGAGTCAGTCCATCTTGTATTTGGTATTCCTCTTTTCCTGCTGCCTTCCACCTTTCCCAGCATTCTTGTCTTTTCCAGAGAATTTTGCTTTCTCACTATGTGTCCAAAGTAGGATAGCCTCAGTTTCAACATTTTTGCCACCAGAGATAGTTTGGTCTTGATTTGATCTAGGAACTGCTTATACATCTTCCTAAGAATCCAGGGTATCCACAAAGCTCTACCCCAGTAGCATATTTCAAAGGAATCATTTTTTTTCCCTGTCAGCTTTCTTAACTCTCCAGCTTTCATATCCATACATGGTGATCGGGAATACAAGAGTATGGATGACACATCCTTACACTTGATAATCTTTCCTAATTCCTTCATTGCTGCCCTACTAAAGACTGAGACTGGAGTCTTTTTTCTGCAAGTCTCTGTTTGGACTGATGATTGAACCAAGGAATACAAAATGTTTCATTACTTCATTTTCTTCATTGTCAATGTCAAAGTTGTATAGTTCTTCTGTAGTCATGATTTTTATCTTCTTAATGTTCAACTACAGTCGTGCTTTGGCACTTTCTTCTTTTACCAAAAATCATTTCAGGTTATTGCTGCTTTCTGCCAGTATGATGGGGTCATTTCCATATCTTAAATCACTGGTGTTTCTTCTACCAGTTTTCACTCCTCCTCCATCCTTTTATCTCTTCTGTATGGGTCTTCGGTATACTGTTTCTAACCTCTTTATTTTATTCTAGTCAGATAGTGAGATTCCCTGTTGGTTTTTCAGCATTCCTAAACTAGCTTTATATTTCTCTTTGCTGTCTTGGATCTTCTGGAAGAGATCTATTGCTTTTCCCCTTCAGTATTTCTTTGCACTGGTTCTTGTAATAGTTCTCTTCATCTCTGACAGTTGCTGAAAAGCTGCATTCAGGATTCTGACCCTGCTTCTATCACCTTTGCTACAGCTTCTCAATATTCTGCTTCCAATTATGTAATCTATTTGATTTCTGTATTGGCCATTGGTGATGTGTATGTGTAGACTTGCTTGAAGCACGTATTTGCAATAAACATATTGTTGGCTTCTCCAAACTCTGGAGTCATTATCTTTCTTCATTTCTGACTTCTAGATCAAATTTTCCAACAACATCTGGTTCTGCTGTGTTTTCTACGTTTGTGTTCTCTTTACCTATGATTATAAGCATGTCTTCTTTTGGTGTGTGGTCAACTTCCTCCTTGATGCTTGCATTGAAGCTTTCAATTTCATCATCTTCATCATCTGTAGGGCAAAGTCCATGCAAGGGAGCATAGACTTGAATGATGGCCATGTTGATGGGTTTTCCCAGGAGTCTGACTGATATTGTTTAGTCAGACTTTGCATTATAGTTCCTAACTGCCTGTGTTTCATTTGTCTCAGTGTTAGAGCCACCAAATTTTTTTCTGAGTTTGTAATTTCCACAGTAAAACAGTTTGTAATTGCCTGACTGAAAATTTCACATTCCAGTCCACTTTAGTTCACTGACAAGCACTGCAATGTTTAAACATTCCATTTTCCTGGCTACATACTTTTAATGGAGCTCACTGAATATATTGCAATATACTGATGAGAATATGTTGATTTGCTAGAAATCCTTGCAAAGTTAACTTTATGATCAGATTCTCCATGATCATTCCCAAACTGGGAGAAATAAAAGTGAGAGTCATGAATTCTGTATTTACTTTTTTCTCTCTCATGAAGATTTTAGATACCCCTACTTCCAAAAGTCAAGAATACTCTACCACTGCCAGTCTTCGCATCCCATTTCAGTGGGGAAGGACTGCAACTGAGCGAAGAGGAAGGACTACTATCTTTTCTGGTACCTTCAAAGTCTACAAGGCCATCTCCATTCAGATCAACATCCTTGAGAATTTCATCCACCTCACGGTAGTTCAGCTGTTGCCCCAAGAGCTTACGCATTGCTTCTCGTAGTTCAGCTATGCTAATCTGCCCATCACCATTTGTGTCAAACTGGAAGACAAGAAGAAAAATAGTACTGTATTATTCATTTCAGCAACTTGTTTAGCAGTCCTCAAAACTCATATATTTTCTGTTCTTTTGTTCTGTGTCTCCTGCCCGAACCAAAACTTGAAGATACCACTTCTTAAAAAACAATAAGAAAAGACAGTAGCGTGTTTGGGACTTATGTGAAATACAGACTGTGCTCTTCTACAAGAACATAATTACAGCATACATTTCAAACAGATTACAATGGATACAGATGGAACCCTGCCACTTGGAAGCTGCCGTCAAATTGCATTTTGCTGAAAGAATTTTGATTGTCATCTTCCCTTAACACACAAAAATTTCCTCTCTTTAAATATCATCATGTTTTCAAACTAGCGCAGCAAACAAGATTTCACTATCTGCCTAAACTGGATGCCAGTCAGTAGTATCCTCTGACCCAACTAAAAGGCAATTCCATGTGTATTTTCATAGCACACCATATCACTGTTTCCTATACTGCCTCAACTCTGATGAAAGTGAGAAGGTCATCATGCTGCTGAAGTTGTTGCAGCTTCATCAATAATGTTTATCAGTTTTTTCAAATGCTTTCTCTTCAGTTTATCTGGACAGGGTATCTAAAAACTCAAAACCCTCATTTTCAAGAGCAGAAGATACAAAGGCCAGCAGGGGAAAGAGTGTAGATGTTCAATATCAGTATTTCTGAAATACCTTTCTCCTGACCATGTCAGTTTAATCAGGAAATGGCAGAGGAATGGATATAAGAAGTATAAAAAGAAAGGATTTGGGAGAATGTCTGCAGAGAGTTTTCATATATGAAAAAGCTATTCCCAATTGTGCCTACCCCTAAGGGAATAAATGTTGGGCAAGGATTTTAAAAAAAAAACACCTTTCCTTCTCAAAATAGTCTCAAAAGCTACAGGAAAACTGAAGTACAGTTGAAAAGCTACCTTCTTGTATGACAGCCATTGCATGTGCGAGGCAATTACACTGGGAGGGTTCTTTGTGTTTTCCTTTGCACATTTGGGCAAATTACCAATTGCACGACCAATTTTGCAATCATATACAACATCAGACAAGCAATACAGAGTCTGCTGCAGAGGAGGAAAAACTTACTTGACTGCCATTACATGATCACAGAAGTCTATAGGATTCTGTCTGTTGATGCCCAGAGGTACATACTAGGCTGCAACTACATGGTCAGACTCTGTGGACTTTGCTGCAGGTATGAAACAGACTAATACACTTTTTCTAACTGATCACACAACACAAAGAGCAATTTGAATCAGTCCAGTCCTTTTTGCTCCTGATGCAGAGGGTTTTTTCTCTCTCTGATGCTGGGGGCTTCCACTTTTTTTCAAGCCAGAATGGTTTGAACAGACATTCCCCATGTGATCAGTTCTTTCCTTCTCCAAAAGGATAGGGGATGAGACTGTGGGTGGTATTCTGGTGACATACTAAGCTGGGCATGATGGTTTAAACCAGCCATTCTCAACACAGTCAATATGGCCACCTGAGGGCCCTGGCACATTTGAAGGGGTCACAGACTTGAAAAAATTCTTCATGCACCACCTTATAAGGTTTATCATGTGATTCCCCAAAAGTAGAAACACTACAACTGGACTCCCATGCATCATGTGATTACTGGGAAATAGACTGTATCTGACTGCTCCATGAGCAGTCCAAAATGCAATCTGTTTTTCTGTGTGATCATGCCCTGTGACACAGTGGCATCACATGTGGTTCTCTCACTTCCGGGATTATGCAGATTAGTGTGCTTTGTTTGGTAATAGGTCTTCAGGGCTTACTTAAGGATGGGATTCCTTTCAAGTCTGATTTCACAAACAGGGAAAGACTGCCCTAGTCATCTTACGCAGACGTTAAGGTTCTTTTGGTTTATAGGCTATCTCTTTGCGCCAAAGTCTTACCTCTCGGAAAGCATCCCGCAGTTCTTTTACCCCAATCATGTCTGCTGTCTCTGCCAGCATCTTTGGACCCATAAGTTCGACAAAGTCATCAAAATCCACCTTCCCTCCGGCTGCAAAGGGGAAAAAAAAACCAGTTTCAGCCAGAAGAGGACTGAAGTATTTAAGTATAGATATCCAGTGTGGAGAAACAGATAGGGTTGAACTGGCACTCAGGAGTCCTGGGTTGAAAACTCAGGATGCAACCAGGTGGGGATTTGTCCTGCAGTTCAGTCCTTTTCCCAGTGACCACATGACGTATGTGCCATCGCAAACCATTCCATCCCTAATTCATGCCTACATGCACCATTTTGGGTCACTGTTAGGGGTTACTGTGTTTTTGGTGCAGGTAGGATTGCATGTTTTGGTTCCAGCATATGTGATATCTGAGGCTGAACCAAAGTGGTTGGTTTAAGCTGTCAATCTGCATAAATTGCTGAACAATCTTGAGAAATTGAAAGCTTCCTTCCTGCTCACCTGTAGAGGAGAAAGGACAGGAAGATTTCAGTTTCTTTTAAATTGCTATTAATGCAATAGTGGAGCCTTGAAAAGGCTTTTACAAAAAAAGTTATTTCAGGAATCGCTGATGCGCTGTCCCAATTAGCAACAATTGAAAAGAAATGGAAAATTTCCTCTCCCTCTCTGCAGATGTGCAGAAAGGAAGCTTTCCATTTCTCAAGATTATTCAGTGGCTTAAACACAGCATAGAGAAGGAGATAAGATGGGAATTTTGTTTGTTTGTTTTTCTTTCCCTTTAAAGGAAAAGACCAGTCTAGACTGTGCTAAACAGTATCGCTTGAGGTGCAGCATGGCTGATCCTCACATGTGGATGCAAGGAATGCCCCAAATAACATATCACATCTCAAAGCAACCCTGTTTATTACAATCTAGACTGATACAGGCCAGGATAATTGGGCCATCTCGTCACACACTCACTGATGGGGGGGTGCACCTAGTAAAGCTATTTAAATTATTACTTACCTCACTGTGAGTTCTGACTTGTCTGGCACAAAGCACAAGTATTTCATACTGTGGGTCAACTCATAAAGTGTGAACTGAATCGTCTTCCAAACAGACCTCCTGTGCTGCCTTTCTTGCCCTATCTTGGTCTAACTCTGGTATTGATTACATTATTATTGTAGCAAACTAGGAAGAGGAATTGGCTTCTACGAATGCAAATAATCAGAACATGAACTCTGAGTTATGTTAGAAAAGCCATATAGTTAATGGTTTGGCTTTATAACTTCTGATTCACACCACCATTTTGCACCCTCAGTTTTGAACAATGAAAGATAACCTGGGCTGATGTGAAAGAAATGTTCAAGGAAATTCACCATGAATAGGCTGTAGCTGAGGAATATGAGGCTCCCCATGTAAGCTTATAATACAAACGTGATTTTAAAACGCCATTGGACTCTTTTTAGCTATTTCATGGCTCTTTTGTCTGTAATTCAAAACTCTCATCAAATAGTGTGGGACATATCCACTCTATGCGTTCAAAACAGTAGCCCTGGGAAATTGACAGTGTGTAAAAGCCTTTTGAGTAATACAGGGGTAATACTTCTAGACATACAGACTAATATACTGTATGTTCAACTTAACCATCTTGTAATTCAGTTTCTGCTCAAATTGTAACAGTTGCCTTCTGCCCAGAGGTCAGACGTGTTATATTCTAAGATTTACAATTCCCAGAATCCCCTAGTGAACATGGTCTCTAGCCAGTATTGGGGGGTGGGTGGGTTTCTGGGAGTTGTAGTACAAAAAGTAATATTTCCCAACTCTTCCTCTTGCTGGCAGGAAAGTCATGAAATGCTTGTGATCCCGCAATGCCAAGTGCTGTCCTCTTGTCCTCCCTGACATTTCCTTCCTCAACAAAGAGTTGTTATGACACTGAATTCTCTTATCTGTATTAAGGTATCTCTAAATAACCAATGTACTTTCCCTTTTATCTGGTGTGCATATTTGTGTAAACTGCTAGTGTTGTTATACTGCTTTATTAGAGCAGTAGGAGTACAGCAATGGAACCAATTTACTTTAAGAGGTGGTGAGTGCTCCAACACTGGAGGCATTCAAGAGAAATTTACACAACCACCTGGCAGATATGCTTTGATTTGTACTCCTGCACTGAAGAGGGGGTTGGACCCAATGGCCTTCTAGGCCCCTTCCAACTTCATGATTCTATGATTCTGTGAGTCTACTATGCCATGCAATGGAGCAGATTGGGAAATGCAGTTGAATCTAAGCATTCGTGGAGTTGTGGAGCTTCAGATGTTCCAAATGAGAGTTCATATTCCCAAGTGATTTTGTCTATCTTCTTGGAGGCAAGAGCCGTGAACGTGCACAATTTGAAAACCACGGGTGCCCCTGGGCTCCCTCATCTCTACTACGTGTGTCTAGAGATGGGTCAGGAAGGAACTTTGTGCTCAACTCTAGAATGGACTGAGCCAAATGACCCAAGTTCCTTCCACTTCCTGTTTCATTACCTCCAGAGGAAAAGAAGGGGGCTGCCTACCCTCACCAAAGTAGGTGGGGGGGGTCAGCACCCATAAAGACAGGAGTGGTTTGTTGGTCATTCCTTCTTGTCGCAAGCTGTTTACAAAAGACCCTGCTGACATTTCCCCCTTCTAACTATATGTGCTTGAAGATCCTCAGAAGGAAGTCAGAAGCCTGGACTGCCAGCCTCTTCTCCTTGCAAAGAGTCGGAAAGGAAAAGAGACCCAGTGCAATTTTCACCTGTCTCTGACTATGACTGAAATCCAGCAGTAAGCTGCAACTACAGTAAGCACATTGAATCAATGGGAAGTTGGTGAGTCATCACCTAGTAAGTTCCACTGATTCAGTGGGCCTATTCTAGTTGCAATTTTCTACTGAATTTTAGCCAATGTCTTCCATGGCCCATTACCCTATTTCTAGTCTCCAGTGTGAATTCTTTGCTCTTTGGAAGAAAGGACAGAGTGGCTGTCAGTAGGGAGTCCACAACAGGAGTAACTTGATTCTACTCAGAGGAATTGCATATGGACAGGGTGAGCATGTGCTTGAGTACTGCAACCTTGGTGAAATTTTTGCAACACTCCTAGTTGTATTTACCCTGTTGAGTAGACATTCCCCTTACAACATACTCTCTTGTAGGGGGCTGATGCTCCCACTAAAGGAAGAATCAACCTAATGTCAGATTCATGGGATGGGAAGCAAAATAAGCAGAGATCTTCCATCTTAATCCATCTAAAGTAGCTTCTAAATTAATATATAACTGGAGAGGAGAGGAGCAGAAGCTTTCCTAAAGTGTACAAGTCAAGCCTTTATCTGTAATAGGGAAGGAGAACCATCTTGGTTTTGACCCAAATGAGACAAGGCAAGAGCTTTCCCACTACGAATATTTCTGGTCAAAGGCTATTGTTCGTGTTGAGCGGTATCACAGACATTTTACTAAAGCAGGAAGAGGAACTTGAGATGTTCTTCATTGGGGCCAGAATAACCTCATGGGTGCATTCCTCTACTGCATGGCTGAAGAAGAATTAGAGAGCTCAAACAGTGAATGTTGCTTTAGACAACAGCACCACAGTGAAGAAGTAAAAGTCAGTTCCTGACATGACACAATTCCAACCATGGAAGGCAAAAGGAAAGAAAGAAAGGGCACAAGGTCTGCCTAATGCCATTAGAAGCTGGGGCACTGGGTTGGCTTACCATGTTTTCCCAAAAATACGACAGGGTCTTATATTAATTTTTGCTCCAAAAATGCAGGAGGGCTTATTTTCAGGGGATGTTTTATTTTTTTCCCCATGTACAACCATCTGCATTTATTCATATAGAGTCATGTTATCTTCTGGTTCCTACACAATGGTGGAGGGCAGGGTTTCACTTAACTAGGGCTTATTTTTGGGGGTAGGGCTTATATTATGAGCATCCTGAAAAAATCATACTAGGGCTTATTTTCAGGTTGGATCTTATTTTCAGGGAAACAGGGTAGTAACTCTAGGTACGTACTGATCTGCTGGGACAATTCAATAAGCTCCATCTCAGTGGGCATGTAGCCCATGGTGCGCATACATTCTCCCAGGTCCTTGTAGCTGATGTAGCCATCATGGTCTTTGTCAAACTCCCGGAAGGCCTCCTTTAGCTCTGGAAAAAGAAGTGATGCTATAAGAGTTCCACTTCCATAGAACAGAAGTTTCTCCATATTAAGCATACCTAGCGACGTGGAGAGGGGGGATTTGCTGCTTAGGTAACAGCCTATCCTCCATATTATTTTACCCAGGTTTCGTGCTCTGGAGAGGACCCTCCAGCTCCTCCATACAGAGCATGTTACCATAGTGTCTCGAGAGTGAAGGATGCCAAAGAAGAAGGAAAGAATTGTAGCCTATACAGATTCTTACCACTGAGCTATTGTTAGTTATTATCCTTTCCTAATGCATTGATTAACTAGTTTCTCTTGTAAATCAGGTAATCTATCTGTGTCTTACAAACAAGCATGTAAATAGGAAGTAGAAGACTTGCCCATGAAATGAGGTATACTAGATGTGTTATAGGCAATTAAAAATGGTTATACTTCGCAACTCTAATAGTATCCTTGCCTGACTGTGGAGCTCTACTCCAAAGAAACAGTAGAGCCGTAGGGACTGTCGGGAATGCTGAGGCATACTGGATGCTCTAAGACCAGGTTTTTATTCCACTATTGTCTTGCCTCAAATATAGCATTTTACTGAGGTAGCTCCAGATGATGTCACCTTCTGTCTTTATTTTCAACTCTTCTGTGCTTACCAGAAAAAAATATGTTGAAAAAATGACAGAATTGGTGCACAGTATATTTTGATTATCAGTGCTAGGAATCCTCCACATCAAAGTATCCAGTGTAAGGCCAATCAGAGCTTTCATAGAAGGGCTGAATTCACACTTCTGAGTCAAGGTATTTAAACAACATATCTGATAGCTCCATCATCAGTTGTTGTGATGAGCCAATTAGAGACAAAAGGATCAAATGAATGCACAGGGAGAGTGTCAAAAATAGGCAAGGGAATAAAGCACAAGAAGGCCAGGAAACCAGGAAAAAATAACAAGATAAAGCATTAACTGAGAGTGCGGCAACACAACAGCAAAAATAGTGAAATCCCATATGAGAAGTCAGGTTTTATTGGGTGAATTTGCTTTGCTGGATCACACAGCAGTCATCAAAGAGAAAAGAGGACATTGCTAAACTGCACTTACTAGCACCTTGTTAAGGTGTCTCTACTGCAGGAGGCATGACAACAGCAGAGCTACCTTAACAAGCTGCAAACAAGAATTGACTGCTGATTTCTTCCTCTGTAGATTTATTCCTTGCTCACTCACTTGCTCACTCACTTTTTTAAATGCTTTCTAGATGCTGTAGTGCACCAGCTCTGGCACCAACTCTTTAAAGAAGCCAATTTGGAGACAGACGGATGTTAGGTTGAGGGGAATGGGCATCCCCATGAATACCTCTTCACTTCCTTTCTTCCAACCTTAAACTAGGAAGCTTAGAAAGCCAACTTCTGATCACCCATTGCACTGGTTCAAGTGATCACACTGAACAGTTGCACATGCATTCAATTCTTTTTTTAAAAGTAGAAGTCCCAGCAGAGATCGGGGGAATTAACTAGCAGTGGTCTGATTCAAATGTAGTCAGAGGAAAATAATGTGAACCAGACTGTCCTTATCACACATCATTTCCTGAATTGTCATTGCAGTTGCAGCCTGAGTAAAGGGGACTGAGTGAGGTGTAGATGATACAGCGTCCTGGAAATGAAAGATTTGAGGATAGTTTCATTTTACCTTCAATTTCCTCTGGTCGTAGTTCTCTGTCCTGGAGGGAAAAGGCAAAGAGAGTCCAGTGAAAAGAAAACACGGGTGGTAGCTTTGGCTACTCTCATCCATCCTATAGCCTTTTGCTACTGACCTATTACCCAGAGGTTATCTCTGACTCAAAGGCTTTCCACATGGGTATATGTCCATTATTTGGTGTGCTGATGGTGTGGGTTGGTCTGCTCTTTTTTCTGGAGTCCACATACATTAATTGCTGGAGCAGCCCAATTTGCCTTAACCTGCAACTTTCTGAACTCTTTTCAGGGCGTTCTACTACTCTGATGTGGATTGGTGGGCTCTTGTTTAGTCTGTTCCAGCACCTGTGGTCACTCAGAGCTTGCAACTGACAAAGGCACCTTCCAGTGTTAATTTCAGGTATCTTGAAGTGGGTTATAAGCTGCATAAGGATATTGGCAAATTGAACACTTCCCCTGCTTGTCTGCAAAGGGGCATGGGAAATGAAATCATTTCTATTGTGCCTGCTAAATTGTCACTGATGAGCTGATTCACCTAGATTAAATTAAAACATTTTTCTTTGCTTTTCTGTGTTTTTCTGATCAAGAAACTGCTTGCAGCTATTGTTTCAATTAGCAGTACACAGAAAGGCAAAGAAAAATGTTTTTTTTTAATTTAATTTAATCCAAGTGAATGAGTGCATCAATGACAATCTAGCAGATCCAATTTAAACAATTAACTTTGCCCCTCTGCAGGCAAGCAGGTGAACTGTTCAGTTGACACTGGAAGGAGCTGAAAAGGAACCAAGGTGCTCCACTGAGGCACAGGCTGTGAGGGAGGAGGTATGTGGCTGCTTCCACTTGAGCTGCAGCCACCATGTTCTGTCCTCTCCTGGAGTGTGTGTGCTTGCTTGAGTGTGAAGGGCAGGAATGATGATAGTACCAGGCCCTGGACAGTGTTGGTGGCTGAATGTGAGGCATTTCTCCCAGAACCAGCTGTGGAAAGGCCAGCATGGAGGTGGGTGGGAAGGGGAAGTGGCAACAGAGTTGGAGGCTGTTTCCCACATGAGAGGAGGGAGGAGGGGGGAAGATAGCAAAAGGACAATGGAAGGCATGGCTGAGCAGATGTTTCAGAGAATTGCCATGCAAAACAGAGTGAATGAATATGGGTAAAACTGGTGTGTGTGTGTGTGTGTGTGTAGGGAGTCTGGCTCTGTGTAAGGTGTGGTGTGTGCTGGTACAGGTTACAAAGAAGGAAGACGCCGGAGGATTGTTTGAAGTCTGTATGCCATCAGGACATGAAAATTGTGCCAAATGGCATATCACTCCTCTCTCCACAGCTCAACCAACACTATTTATTGTACACTGCAGCAGCCCACACCAAAAGGACCAGTGTGGACAGGCCCTCAGTCTCAAAAACACCACCTTGCCCAGCGTATTCCCTCAGTGAATCACTCCTGTTCCTTTTGCAGTTTGGTCCTGTGCATGTTTACTTGGATGTAAGATGCAGCATGTTCAGTGCAGCTTCCTCCTAAGTAAATTGGCCTAGGGTAAGAGAGTCTCATGGTGTCTCACTCTTGAGTTCAGTGCAAGCCTCATCTCAGGACCAGTGAATACAGATTAGTTGGAGAAAGGCTTCTCCAGCAACTTGCGGAGCGACAAAAGGGCTGTTGTGATAGCAGATCCTTAGGTGGGAGCCGGTAGTCCAAAAGCTGGTTTACACTGTAAGCCAGTTATAGATTACATTGTAAATCAAGAAGTCATCACCTGGAGGTTTCTTTCTGCCATGAAATCACTAGATGGTCTTAGGTATGCCATTCTCTCTCTCTCTCTCATTGCCTTTCTGTAATATGTGAATAATTATACTGATTATACCTTACTGGGCTACTGGAAGGATTCCAGCAAGATATCTTTGAGTCATTCAAAGTCCAACATAGGAAGGACAGAGTGATCTGTCTAGCTCTTGGCCTGTTTGAAAGTTACTCAATGAAGGAAACATTTCACTTGCCACATATTGGAAAAGATCCATTTCAACTGTGCATCCACTTATACTATGGGAGGGAACAACAGTAGCTATATTATGAAGTGCTGTCTAAACAGAGCAATAGAATTGCAGTACGTACGATCTGTGTGATAGCGATGCTCTGGCGCAAGAAGATGCAAGCTGGCCCCACTAAGCCATGGAGCACTGAGTAGTTCTGCAGTGAGGGATACTGCACGCCATCAATCATTTCGTCCACATCGTTGCTGGTTGAGGCAGGGGAGCCGGGAGCCTCGGAAGGTTGCTTATTCTCCTGTAGCATAGCTCGCAATTAACTAAGCATAGTTAGAGAGCCTGATTTCCCCACCTGCCAGGGCCTGGGTGCTTAGAGCCCTATTTCCTGGGAAATTTCAGGGAGGTAGAGAGTGGCCAAAGAACAAACATAAGGTGTGCTAAAGGTGCAATAGCGGATTGTTAAAAACAAATTCCCACATTCTTCTTCTAGAGGTTTATGGACAAATTTCACTGCTTATACAATAAAACCCTTGATGGCAAACCAAATGCATTAGCAGACTTGATCTGTACTGGAATGGGGGCAGACATTTAAGCTAAGATCAAGCAGAATCACATACCTGTATTCCTGATATCTATATATGAAGGGGACTTAGCAGTGACTAAGAGATAAATGCTGCAAAGGACACACACACAGAGAGAGATGCCACTGCCAACAGTGTGTCTCTCAAACTAAATCTCATCAAGATTCTCTTTTTCCTCCCTTTGAGCTTGGGTCAACTGAGGTCTGCATCAGATTGAAATCCTTCCCTCTCACGGTTTGTCCCTATGCAAAAATTCAAATGTATTTTCGTGGTTTTTCCCCAGACATCGGCATTTTTGCACATGTTCTCCAATAGACATGATCCCTTCCACCCCAATTATGTATTCTATGCCTCAATCAACTCCGTGTGTGTTACAAATAGCATTTCAATCTCTGTAATGTGCGGATTTCATTTCAGTCCATGTTTCAAGAGGTCCAGACTGTGTAAATCGACATCTAAATATAAATCCAGTGAGGTTCTGACCCATCCTTAGAGGCTAACAAAGCACTGATATACACCTATGCAGAGACACATATAAATACACTGAAATATAAACAAATACAGCAACACACAAATACCTGCATCTCTTGCCAGTCTCTCTGTCTGTTTTAGGGCATGTCTACATGCCAAACTAGGGATGTGGTGGCACTGCAGGTTAAGCTGCAGAAGCCTCTGTGCTGCAAGGTCAGAAGACCAAGCAGTCGTAAGATCAAATCCATTCATTGGAGTGAGCTCCCACCGCTTGTCCCAGCTCCTGCCAACCTAGCAGTTCGAAAGCATGTAAATGCGAGTAGATAACGACCTCGGTGGGAAGGTAACGGCGTTCTGTGTCTAGTCGCACTGGCCACGTGACCGCGGAATCTGTCTTCAGACAAAAACACTCGTTCTATGGCTTGGAAACAGAGATGAGCACCGTGCCCTAGAGTTGGACATGACTGGACTAAATGTCAAGGACAACCTTTACCTTTACCTTACATACCAAACTACACACCTAAACTGGTTCAACATACATTTTTAATTCCTAGGAACGATGAGAACTTTTGTTTTGTGATAACAAGGATTCTTTAACTAAATTCCCATAGCTTTACTAGACAGATTCCTTCCGTGCTGATGTCCTCCACTATGTGACCATGCTGGCTGAGGCTATGGGAGTTGTAGTCCAAATATTTGTAGGGCACCACTTTGGACAAGGTGGCTTTTGGAGACCATTAATTCAGAATAAAACGAGCACACAATTTTGCCACCATTTACACCCAAACTCTGAATGAACATAGATGACACAGTACAAGCGCTCACCCTGCTAGCCAACTGGATATTCTGAATTCTAATGAGGAACAGACATGTATGATCATTCTACACAATGATACAAATAAGACTCCTGGCAGAGAAATCGAAACACATACCTATATTTTCCAGCACACATGTCCTAGTACATCCAACGTTCAACTATCCACAGGTTCTACACACACACAACCTCTACATGAACCATAACATGTATAAAACACATAGCACCTAACACAACAGCAGTCCTCCTGACATCAGCATATAAAGGACACACTAGTGCGTACAGCGCACATAGATGAGAGATGCATATGCCCAAGTACATATACCAAACATTTTCAACTTCTTGCCTATATTTATCACATTTTAATGTGCTAGGACAGTGGCAGGCAAAAATATGTTAGAACCACCAGAACACAGTGCTAGTAATGGAAGTTACAACTCACTTTTCTGTTCACTCTATGGATTGGCAGGAACTAAACCACACTGACTGGAGGGCCGTATCTGTACCCTGTCACCTTGTCACTTACAGTGGCTCATTCACCCTCATCCGCCGTCATGATTTGCTTTAAATTGCCTTGACTGTTTGAATTATAGAGGGATATAGATTGATATAACAACACACACCAATGCATATTAACTCTAGGTTTCCTTTCCTAGGACATACCATAATGTAGGCAATATTATTTCTCTCTCATCTCTTTGCATATTACCTGCCCAACTCAATGGTCTTAAGTCTTACATACAGAAACCACTAATACAAAGAAGCATTGGCATGCTGATCGATATCCTTTTTCTGTTCATTAGTCAGCACCAATATATATAGAGAAAATGTAGATATGTTTTAAGGACTCCTCTCACCCCTCAAATTTAATCCTTGAGAACATTCAGGAATCTTGGAGGTACCCTAATTAGTGGTACCAAGCTGCCATAGAACTTTGCTCTGCATTCTTTCTTAACGTACCTGGTGGAATTTCGTTTTGCCCAGAGGGCATTTACAACACACCATGATGAGAGGGACAGCATATAGTGACATATCTGCTTGTTCTTCCTCAGATTCAAGAAGAAAGAATATAATCCTAAAGTAGGGCTGAGTAGGTGGGGCATAGAAAAGGGGATCTTCTCCAACAATTCTACACAGCATTCTACCAAAAATAAACCTGGCCTCCTCCTAATAATCTGCGATAAGGAATGATGGACGAGGTGAGGGGGTTGGACAAGGAGGTGGCAGCAACCACAGGGGCCTAGATATAAACAGCTACTAAAGCACAGCCTTCTTGCCCTGTTTCTTAAGAGACCGCCAGGCCTAAGGCTTCCCCCATTGACATGAGTCAACGGAGGTGGCACTGAGAAATGAGAGTAGACAGACAAAGACATTTTTTTAAAAACAGACAGACAGACAGAAAGACACACACACACACACGAACGGGGCAGGGGGGGGAGGGGGTCAGAGATGAAGGTGTAAGGATGAAAAGGGCACCCTCCCCTCCCTCCTCTTTCCCTACCTTGGACAGCCGTTTGCCTGGGGTTTTGGTGCAGTTGCCCATGGCTCTTAAGGCCCCCCCATCCCACCGAGCATAGTATAGGGCTGAAGGCAGCTGGCGCCAGCGAGAGAAATTTTTTTTATAGTAACAAGTGATTCTCTTCCTAGGAGGTTTAGACGCTTTGGGGATTTTCAGGGTTTTTATTGTTGAATATCTCCAGAATATTAAGGGAAAGTGAGCGGCAGGGGGTGGGGTGGAGGGCGTGGGCCAGAGCCATAATCCTCAGGATTATACGCAACTCAATCATATATGGTGCTAAAGCACAGAAAGGATGATAGACAGGCAGCTCTTCCTCAAAGCTTTTCAGCGCCACCATGTCCAAGAAGACTAGCCCACTCCCCTGTCTCCATCTTGTCCTTCCTACCTTGTCCCAAAGCCCCTCTTGGAGGCTTATGTATAAGCAGAAGGAAAGGCTTGTTGTGGCCCTCCAACATCCATCCTCCCCTCCTTGGTGAGAGCAGTGAGGCCATAATCTCCTGTGACAATCAAAGAGATTTTCAAATCTTTGTCCCGGGGAGTGGCTGCTTCCCCTGAGCTCTGAGGATGCAAGACTTAGCAGTGTTACTGGGCACGCACGATTCAGAGGCGGTGGGAGGGAGAAATGTGCCAAACTAAGAGTTAGGCACATTTCAGACTTTCCACTTCTCTGTGTGACATGTGAACCGAAAGTGAAATCATTGCTTTTGCAGATGCACAGGCCATTTCCACAAGAGACATGGATAAAAACAGCTGGTCATCTAATGCATCGCTTGTGAATGTTGTTAATATGATAGAAACTGGGAGGTGGGGGTGGGAATAGCAGCTTTTTATATTCAGAGGCAAGTTCTTTGAGACTCATTTGTTTTACAGATGTGAAAAATGAGACTAACACTGTTGTGTCATTTGTGAAAATACAATCAGATTTTAAAGGTTCGTTTTGAAATTAATTGTTAAAATTGCATAATCGTAATTATAATCACACTTCCTGTCCACATGTTCCTTGACAATCTCAGCAGAAAAAAAAATAAGAGTGTATTCAATTTCTTTTAGGCAGTAGTATGTTTGATTTGCGGTAGACTAGCAGGGGTTTTCAACTCCTAATTATGTAACAACAACAGTAATTATCATGTGCTGTCAGCTCTGGTTTTGGTGACCCTTTTCAGGGTGTTCCCAGTAGAGAATACTCAGGAATGGTTTATCATTCCCTTCTCCTGGGGGTGCCCTGGGGCTGAGCAGCTTGTCCAAAGCCACACAGGCTGGCTCTACTGACAGGAGCCACAGCAGGGAATCAAACTCCCAATCTCTTGCTCTGCAGCCAGATTCCTAAACCACTGTGCTATCCAGCCAAGACTAAAACATGGTTTTATTATAAGGTAGGTAGGGGACGTGGTGGCACTGTGGCCTAAACCGCAGAAGCCTCTGTGCTGCAGGTCAGAAGACCAGCAGTCGTAAGATCGAATCCATGCGACGGAGTGAGTGCCCGTCGCTTTGTCCCAGCTCCTTGCCAACCTAGCAGTTCGAAAGCATGCAAATGCAAGTAGATAAATAGGGACCACCTCGGTGGGAAGGTAAAACGGCGTTCCCTAGTCACGATGGCCACGTGGCAACGAAAACTGTCTTCGGACAAGCGTTGGCTCTATGGCTTGAAAACGGGATCAGCACCGCCCCCTAGCATCGGACGCGACTGGAATAAAAAATGTCAAGGGGAACCTTTACCTTTACCTTAGCTTGCTGAGAGAAAGAGCTTGTGGGAAATCAGGAGTGGATATACATCTGATGAAAGTACTTGTCAGCTTGGTTTTGGCACCAGTCACAAATACCTGGGTTGAAGAATTGCCTAGAGGCACCTTGTTCTTTAATTCCTACTGCACATCTGTTTTAGTAATAATAATAATAACAAATTGTTATACCTTCTGCATACAAAGTCTACCAAGTACCCTCCTGTACTGGAGCAATAGGTGGCCAAAGTATTCATCTTTAGTTTTTAGTGGCCAACCATTTGAGTAAACAACCTGGTCAAACAGGTGGTGGTGGTGGTGTGTTAAAAATGAAAAGCAACAGAGAGGGCAGCGGAATGAAAGAAATACGCTTTTGCCACAATGAGTCATTAGTACCATCACACTACTTTCAGCTCTTTCAAGAACAATTATTCCACTTCTGAAACAAAAGCTAGGACAGTATTTACCTCAGAGTGACCCACTTTTGCTTACCAATTAGGCAGCCACTCTTATATTATAACAAAATCTGTTGCCTCACTAATTCTTTCCCATTATAACTATTATTTCTCAGTGTACCATCACTAACACAATTAGGATAACGAGAAGAGGATCCATTTTCAGCATGGCACATACAGTATTTGTACATGCTTTCAATACCTTGAAACATATTACACTTAAAACATTGTACAGTGGTGCCTCGCAAGACGAGGTTAATGCGTTCCGCAAAAATCGCTGTAAAGCGATTTTGTCGTTAAGCGAAACACGGTTCTCCATTGAAATGCATTGAAACCCTGATAATCCGTTCCAATAGGAATGGATTGCCATCGTAAAGTGAAAATCGCCATAGGAAACATCATTAAGTGAAACGCGTTTCCCAAGCGAACACAGCCGTCTAACGAAACAGCGACCATTCAAACGCCCATTTAGCGAAGCGAACCCAAGCTGTCAAAACCATCGTAAAGCGAAACACAGGGGCGCGAAAATTAACCGTCTTGAGAGGCAAGGTCCCCACCATCGTAGAGTGAAAATCGCCCATAGGAAACATCGTTAAACGGAGCGCAAGATCGCTCCAGAAAACTAATCGTTAAGCGAATTCATTGTTAAACAAAGCAATCTTCTAGCGAGGCACCGCTGTATCTCTCATGTTCACTTTTAGCTGCAGACATTTTGTCCTCTGGGAATATCAGCTCATATATTTGATGGGGCAAGGGAGGAGAGCTAATGATAGTTTGCAAATGTTCAAAAGCTGGCATTATGGACTTTTAAACTAGGCCTCAGAATGTGAAATGCAAGTGTTCTAGCCTTGTGGATGTTTTGTTGTTGAATATCAAATCTAAAATTCTTTTAATTTGCCAACTACCAAATATTGTCACCTTTAAACAAAAACAAAACAAAACAAACAATATTTTCTTTGCCTTATCTTAAAGGCCCAGCTGAGAAACTGTCTGCAGCCAAAGCCACCACCATAGATTCAACTGTAGGCTGTTTCTCAACCAACCCTTTAAGGTGAGGCAAAGAAAATATTTGTTAATTTTTTAAATACCTGATGCAGTGCATCAGCAATAGTTTACATTCTACATACAATCAAAAACATTTTTACATGCCATCTGCTGAACAGGAGAAGTGGTTAACTTGCCAGTATCCTGAACTGGCTTGCTATTAAGCCACTTCATGATATTGGCTAATTGAAAGAGAAAGTCTTCCATTGAATCAATTCCAGCGACTACACTTGCTGAAAGTGATTCAAACCAGACATCCTACCCATGCCAGAAAAGCCCCTTGTCAGAGGCTAGAAAGGTGCATGTAGAGGTGCTCTGGGGGTTGGCTGTTGTGCTGGAGCAAAGATATTGTCTGATCACCATCTCCAAGAGTACACCAGCCCATCCCTGCAGCACTCCAAATGGTCTGTGTAGTCAGTCTCTCAGTCTGTGTAGTGAATACTTATGTGCGCATGTAAACATGAATACAGTACCTACTTTTGCTCCGAGCTCTGCTTGTTTCTCTACCATCATGGACTGCTGTGTCTTCTGCTACACCAACCACAATGGGTACCAGCTGCCACTACTTCAAATCAGGGTTCAGATCAAGTAGCTGGAAAGGATCAATAATAGAGATGGGGAACAAAGCCCCCAAATGGGGCTTTGTCTTGGTTCATGGGTCATCAAACCTGATGACTCACACAGCACAAACTGTCCCCCAGTGACCCCACCAACAAACAATGAATCAATTCGTTGTTTGTCGGGTCTTTTTTTTTTTCAGACATAATGATTTGCTCCTAATCAGGAGGCCTGTTACATGCAGCAATGACAGAGAAATTCAGTCAAAGTTTAGAAGGTTACTTTTTTAAAAGGTTACTTTTTTTTACTTTTCAGAAACTGTAATTCATTCCCATTATAGTCTTAAAATATAATTCATAGTTCTTAATCATTACTATGAAAGTGAAATAGTTTTTTGCATTACTCATTTCGGTTCCTCATAGTTTTGGCTGGTTTTTCAAAGAAAACTTAGAATATGTAAGAGAATGGCATAAAACCAGGAAAATGTCACTCAAAATGCTTCTAAAAATTCCCTTTAAAAGTAATTGAAAAAGTAACAAAATATTACTCATTACACGCCAACAGAATTTACACTATTATTCTAAATGATTATATTATCTTTGAAATATGACATATCTACAATCTTACCACGTTTTCTATATTTTTCCTGTTGCCAATTCCTCAGAAAATATTTACACACATCTATTGAAGCTTTATTCAACATCAAAAAAACTAAGATCATGGCCACTGGTCCCATCGCCTCCTGGCAAATAGAAGGGGAAGATGTGGAGGCAGTGACAGATTTTACCTTCTTGGGCTCCATGATTACTGCAGGTGATGACAGCAGCCACGAAATTAAAAGACACCTGCTTCTTGAGATGAAAGCGATGACAGACCTAGATAGCATCTTAAAAAGCAGAGACATCACCTTGTCGACAAAGGTCCGCATAGTCAAAGCTATGGTTTTTCTAGTAGTGATGTATGGAAGTGAGAGCTGGACCATAAAGAAGGCTGACCTCCAAAAAATTGATGCTTTTGAACTGTGGTCCTGGAGGAGGCTCTTGAGAGTCCCCTGGACATATCAGGGCTGCTTCTGATAGGCTTCTTCTTTATTCTAGGACAAAGGGTCACCATAAGGCAAAATTGACTTGATGGTACACAATGATGATGAGGAGGATGAGGATGAGGACATCAGCACTACATTCTGGTTAGAAAATATTAAGATTCTTAGCCACCTATCTGAGAGAGGGGAGAAGGCAGAGGACTAAGC